TCCTCACTTCGAAGCTTGCAGATCCTCCCATCTTCGCCGCATACACTCTCCATCCACACGCTGCTCCCCTACAGTGTAGTACCATTTTGCCTGGCTCTGACTTCTTGATGAGGAACCTAAACTTGTTTGTGATTGCATGTAGGGTCATATGGAGCTTGAAGGCTTCCCTGCTCTCAAATATCTTCCCCACAAAAAGCTCCCCTTTTGGCTCATCTGCCACACGTCCTGAAAATCACAAACAAAATCGTATTTATTGCACCGTACTGTATGACGGGTAAACTTTTAAATTTCAGTAAATATTTTAGTTTCCTGGTACATCATAGTTTAATCGCAAAATAAATACGTTCCATGTCTTATTGTTTTTATACCTCCGACTTCAATACCACAAAAAGGCAGCCTGGTAGTATCCTTTCCTTTGACGACCTTTCCATAACATTTGCTACCCCCCGCCTCGTCAAACTCTTGACTCAAGTTTCGCATCCACGCCAATGAAACGTCATCCTCAGCATCAGGCTCGTCAACTCCCAGTGCTAGGGACAGTTGTGTCGCTGAGCCAGTACCTGATAATGCATATGTTATCCCTTAACTTTTGCCTTAACTGTTAACTAATTATTTAACATAAAATATTTATTAAAACATTAAGATTATTACTCATGTTCGACGCATTCCCTCCAGTCATCAGTTGCTCTCCAAATTGGAAATTTGAAGAAGCTCCAATTTGAAATGGTCTCTCCACCGACACATCACTCATCATTACTCCCTTACCCTTGTCCCGTATTATCTCCTCCACTTCATTACCTTCTGCCCCTATTAATTAGTAGTCACACCTTCCGATTACATAAAACTATCTCCTTCACGTATAATTTGAGTTTTTCCTCTAAAAAAATAGTATTACCTAACGCGAAGGTGATTTCCTCAGTTTGAACTTCCGCGTTGGTTTCCTCTGCTTCTCTTATAGCAGCCCCTGTTATTATTTCCCCCGCCTGGTTAAGAGGGATGCCAGAAGAACCCTCTGACGATTCTAGGTTCACTGTCATCGTCGGGTCTAGCTGGAGATCATTTGGTCCACACCCAAGGGCGGTTTGCTCCAGTATGCTCATTTCATCAGCCATGCATATTCCCCTTAATATTTCCCCGTACACAACCATGTACCCTCTCGCAGTAAGATCTACAAACATAAACCACAACAAATTTCTCAATTAATACATGTCTACCCTAGTTTTTCCACTGACATCGCCCAGTAAATAATATATTTACCCGACAACTGCGTCGTTAACTGCTAAATTATTATTTTACTGGAATGACTACTTTACGAGATACCTTCTTTTCCGATACAAAAAAACTTTTACAGAAAAATATTTCTTTTGCGGGTAAAGGTTATTTTACCTTCGATACTAACTAACCCGCGCGCGGGTGTTCGTTGCTCTGAAGCTGTCAATCCATCTTCCACCTCCCTCTGCCTCCGGTAGTTGTAGACATCCTCTCCACCCAATGTGACATACAGCTCCTGCCACACATTGTCAACCCTAACAGCCATGAACACAGCCACGTCTTCGTCCTCATTTATTTCGATGGGTGGTGCTGAGTATTCCTCAGGCTCTTTTTCAAGGTCTGGGTAGTGGTAAGTCAGCAACACAGGGGCGTTGACTCCATACAGTGGGTCTACGTTGAACTTTTCCCTCACCATACCAACAAGTGAGATGTAACTCTCGTTCTCCTTAAGCTCGACGTCAGCTACTATCATGGTTTTATCCACGTTGAACCTCCATGCGCCTTGAGCGCCTCGTTCCCAGTCCCCAACAACGACACGAACTTGGTGCCTCATCTTCCAAACCTGTTACGGTGTAACATNTACAGTGGGTCTACGTTGAACTTTTCCCTCACCATACCAACAAGTGAGATGTAACTCTCGTTCTCCTTAAGCTCGACGTCAGCTACTATCATGGTTTTATCCACGTTGAACCTCCATGCGCCTTGAGCGCCTCGTTCCCAGTCCCCAACAACGACACGAACTTGGTGCCTCATCTTCCAAACCTGTTACGGTGTAACATAACAATTATCAGTAACTCAAAACTTTTAAGGATATAGAACAACCTTTCCTTGGTGGGAAATATAGACAAAGCTTACAACTTACACTACGAGAAAAAACGATTTCTGTCTCTTGAGTTTATCTTCTACAAACACCAAATCACAGCTTTCGTTCTCCCTCTTTCTCCCACAGTTTTTTTTGGTTCTGAAAACTAAAGTGTTACCCAACTCAACCTTCTTTTATCTTCAAATTAGTATGGTATTACGTACACTAAACTTTTCCATGGTAGCTTAGGATGTTGCGCTTAAACAGAAATCACGGATAACCGAGGAAACGTGTTTTAATTGCACACAAGTCGTCCTAGGTTTCAGAGTAGGGTAGGCATCTATTAGAATCGGCGTGGATATCTTGTGTCAGTCGACTGACACAAGCGCCGAAGATCCAATCTTTCCTGCGAGGTTAGTTCCGTCTTTTTGCCATGGTTAGGGTATGTCTCGGGCCCTATATGTCAATCAATGGGCACTTCGCCAATTTGGGCCTCTATTTGGGGCAATACACTAAATCACTCTTTTTTTTTTTGGTCGGAAGAGGAATATGAATCTCGTCGTCCTGAGACGGATTTGGGTATTTGGAGATTTGAAAAGTCAACGAGGTAAATGTGGACTTTGACAAATCTCTGACTTCCACGTGAAATAAAAAAATTATTTATTTATTTCATTTTTTGTATTAACTAAAACTAATTCAATCAGTAAAAAAACATACAATAGATAGTTGGCTAAAAACATACAAATGAGATTAAAATTTATAAGCACAATTTGAATTCTACGTTGACAAATTTTGTTTTTTTTAGAATTCTACAATATGTAGTCTAATGGTTTGACTTTGTGCTAATACTGTCTATAAATGTAGTTTCTTAAGTTTATGTACATTAAAAGACAAATAACACCTTCCAACTCTTGATTCACATAGTTGACTGGCCGACACTGCCGAAAAACACAAAACTTCTCACCTTTGTGGAACTAGACCATAATCGTAGATGATCTTAATTAAAACCATACAATGAAATGAACATAGCAGTATGAAAAAAAAACACATGGGAGTATAAATGTTCCCCCGTTTATTTACATCATAATAGCGTAAAAGGAACAATTTAAATGAACACGGCTATGATTTATTTTCCGTGTTTAAAATAATACAACAAAGATACAGACATACCAAGACCGGTAAGTTAGGAACTGTAGATGTGTGTGTTGGATTTTATTTCACAATGAAGAACGTTTAGAATCAAAGGAACTGCTTCTACTAAAACGTCGTGAAGCAGTGGAAACAAACTCGGGATCAATCACAGTTCCCTGAACTTGTTGTCTCCGTCTTCTCCGTCCCAACAAGCTTACCCTGCCATGTCCTTGTGCCACCGGATCTGTCGCAGGAACATTTTCAGGAACTGGCATCTCCAAGGAGTGTCCCGAGATGCACAATGATCCTGACTCGTCTTGTTGCCAATACACTTCAACCATTATTCCCCTCGGATTCTCCTCAGTTTCGGTTCCTGGTATACCAACAAATCTTGCCCCAACTGGTATCTGTAGATTGGATATATTGCATCAGCTCAAGTTTCTGTCGAATAGATATAAGTGTATGAGATGTGTAAGTTTATTTACCTCGACAGATGAGCCAGATGTTAGTTCAAGAGTGACCATTGTTCCATCAAGAGCTGCGCTTTCGAGTTCAGCTTTTCTTGCTATGTTCAAGAAGACTTCTTCAAGAGTTGCGAGACCAAGTTGGATGTCTGAGATTCCAAACTCGGTTTCTCTGTCTTGCAGCTCACCGAAAAATTTCTGTTTCATTTTTAAAGAAAGCAAAGAAGCTTAGGTCCATTGTAGGCATGACTGGAGCTAGATATACCTCAATGAAACATTCGTCTAGGTCCCCAAAATTTTGAAGATTTTTTAAATATATATAAGCCCCAAAATTATGAAATATATATATATATATATATATATATTTTACTATAATTTTTAAAAAATGTTTTAAGTCTCAAAAATCTCAGATTTGACTTAATAGTAGGTAGTATTTCTATAAATGATAACTTGTGTATATGCTTACAGCCAAAAGATGTTCTTTCTCATGCGGTATAACAAAAGTCATGAAGGCCTTGTTTTCTTCTACTGGTTTGACATTGAGATGCTACAAGAAATATATCACAGCTCAGAGTGCATCAGAATAAGTTAACAACATTATTATAGGTTGGCTATAAGAGACTCACATGTTTAAAGAACTTCTTTACTGGCTCGTGTGAGTTCGCAGCACTAGTTTCACCATTGTTGCTGTTTTCTTCGTTGTTGCTCTCAGCGAAGCTAATGTTAGCAATGAAACCTGTGCCAAAGCGAGATTTCAACCTGATGGAGGTTCCAATGCAACGAAGCCTACCCTTAGCCATTATCCCTATTCGATCACTTAAAATATCAGCTTCCTCCATCGAATGTGTAGTTAGAATTATGGCGCGATCTTTCTTGGTTTCTTGTATAATATCCCACACATGTCTCCTTGTGATCGGGTCCATACCTGTAGTCTGCAGTCCATGTATGATGAAAAGGTAGTTGAGGTTGGATAAATATACACATAAAACAGAATAAATGTAACATGTAGTCTAGATAAGAAGTAACAAACCGGCTCGTCTAGGAAGACAAGCTTGGGATCGCCAATGAGTGAAACTGCAACACTGAGTCGGCGTTTCATTCCTCCACTGTAACTTCCTGCCCTGATTTTCCCTGCTTCTGTCAGTTTTACCTCTGCCAGTGACTTCTCAACCATCTGCATGACGCGAGAGAAGTGCTTTAAGCCAAAAATTAAAGAGGCAGAGAAGGTTAAAGAAACCAACCATTTGGATAACATACCGGATTGATTGATGCAGGTGTCAACCCTTTGATGCTAGCAAAGAGACGGAGATGTTCTTCACCAGACAAAGCATCCCAAAGTATATCAAACTGTGGAAACAATGAGAATTTCATGAATAAGCATAAAATAGTTGTAGCAACAAGAAGAAAATGGCTCACCTGAGGACAAACTCCTATCATTTTACGGATATTGGACATACCAACAGAGCTTCTTACAGAGTTCCCATAAACCAATGCTGTTGAAGCCAATCAGAGAGACTTTAGTATGGTGAAATATGTAAGACAATAGCTTCGAGGAAACAGAAACAAGAAGATGTGCAAGTTTCTTACCATCACCACCAGTGACTGGATTGATGCCTGTCAAACAATTAATAGTAGTTGTTTTCCCTGCGCCATTGGGTCCAAGAAGACAGAACAGTTGCTCTTTGGCAATATTCATCCACAACCCCTGATTACATCACATGAATTAATTACTCTACCATCCTAATTTGCAACCTACCAACACACCAAATTTCTTTAATATATATTTTAATGAATGAGGTTTTGGACCCAAAGACATGTATTAATGCATATATCTCTAGGGTGAGGCTTGACCATGTTAAGTTAACTCTTTAGGAAGGCAGACCTCTCAAAAACAAAGCAAATAGAACCTATGACCACCTTAGACTTCTACTAGACGATCAAAGTATTAGGGACAAAAGTATCACATCGGAAGTTAAAAAGGATTCTATCCAGTATATAAGATAGACGGATCAATCTACTTATCACCAATTGGTAATCCATTTATCACCAATTGGTTTTAGGTTGGAAGTCCATCTAGCTTGCGTATTAGGGACAAATGTCCCACATCGAAAGTTAACAAGGATTATATCTAGTATATAAAATAGATAGACCAATCCATTTATCACCAATTGGTTTTAGGTTGGAAGCCCATCTAACTTAATACAAAGAGTTTTAGGTTAGTTCCACGGTGATAAGATCAGTTTTTCACTTTGTGTTTTCTTAGAAGTACCTTCAGAGCATGATAAGGGGAAGTTTTCTTGCATTTGCAGCAGCATCCAAACTTCGTCGTCCCAGGATAAGTCTTTGCAAGACCACGTATTTGAACTGCAATGTTCGGATCCACTAAGCCCTCCAATGAGTTTTGTTTAACTAAAGCCTCCTCTTCAAGGACATCTTCGTCACATTACAGACTGGTAATATCCTAAGTAAATAGGAACTACTCCTGTTTTCATATTATATTTTTTTTTAATCAGTGCACTTATATAATATTTTCTCTTAAAATAATATTAAAATATAATACAATTTTAATCTTTTAATTCTAAATTAAATTAGTAAATATGTAATTGGTTACACAGATTTTGATAAAAATAAAAGTTACTTAAAAATATAAAAACATTTTCTATCATGAAATAACAAAAGTCATCTAAAACATCATTGACTACCGATTAGTCGATGCGACTAGTCACTAGTGATAGCCAAACCAACAGGGCCAGTTCATACCTGGCGAAGTTTGAGCTCTTTCTCAGTGATCAAAGAACTGAGTTGAATAACAAAACCAAACATGGCAATGGCAAGGAAGAAACTCGGTCCTTTTTTGCCCAACACAACAAGGGCTTCGATAGTCGGGTGTGGAAACTCCTTAAATCCGAAAACCCAGTTAAACTTTGGATCTGCAAAACGAATATGTGACATTGTTAAACACTTTTTTGTCACTTGTCAAGGTTGTTATGCAAAAGAAGATACATAAAACACATGCATAACACACCTCCTATTAAGGACCTAGCGATTTCGCGCTCAGCAGCAATTTGAAGAGGTATCTGGAACTTGAACGTGGGATCTTCGGACCTTCCTCGTTTCGTCTCTGGTGTTGAATTTGTTTGAACTCCGTAGCTGATCACTGTAGGGTTTCTTTCCTTAAAGTGCAAGGCTCCTGGAGTTTGCAAGGGATTCGCCATGAGCCACGCATCTACATCATCTGGAGTCGCGAAAGATCGAACCTGAATTCCACCACATAACACAAAAATGGTCAATACACACATTCGGATTCCACTAAAAGTCTATTGTGTGATCCGAGTCTGTACGTGGATTCGATCCCTAAGTGCTACATCACACTCTGAAATTTCAAAACCCTTTTCTTACCAAACACGTAAAGACAATATTTATCCTTCAAATTTCATAGAGTTCAATTCCCGTTCTCAACACATGACCAATATGAACTCGAAGTGATAAAAAGGATAAAATTTTTAGCAAGGTACCAAATATATCGTCAAATATTCAATATGATTCTACAAAATCTAGTAAGAGACAAGACATACTTTCTCCACTGGAATCGGTCTCCCTGGATTGTTGGCTCTAATAGCGTCAACAATGTCTCTCACTCGCCTGGTATGGTTTCCGCTCCATACGAAGTCGAAACAGGGGAGCTTAACGAAGAACTTGTCCTCGCAAGGCGGGATAGGCGGCGAGATCAGAGCCGTGGGATCGGTAACAGTCTTATGGGCAGTGGAGGAATCGAAGCTCTTCTCCATAATCTTCTGGATACAGAAGATGAGGAGGATGAAGAAGAAGGAAGAGAAGAGTTGAAGGAACATGGCTCGCTTGCTCCGCCATGAGAGAAGAAGGTTTTTCCAGAATAGAGCCGTGTACTGCTGCCAGAGAAGAGGCAAACCTCTCTGCAACGTCATACTCACCCGTTTTGGAAATTTTCTTCTACTGTATTTTGATTTAAGGAGACGAAAGTAGTTATAGTAACTGTACCCGTGGAGGTTGATAAAATTACGAATTAGCCACTCAAATAGTCAGATTTGCCTTGGAAACTACTTTTCAGACAAAACCGTGTCCTGATATATTAATTGCAGATTATTTATTTGCAATTAGAAAACAGAACAAAGAATGATGTTCGTGGGATTAAAGAAAACACACGATCGTAATATTCCATTTAAATTAATACTACTAGAGGAAAATATTACTATAACTAGGCTTTGACTGCTACAAACACCTTTTAAATTATTGGCTTTACTAATTCTTTGATTTTTGGTCGGACCGTGCATTACTTATTTTCCAAGTAACCGTGCCTATATCACACCGATGGTGTGCACGCATAATAAACTATATAACACAAAATTAAGAAAAATATATTATTCAGTGGCAAAAGTTTATTAAAACCAAAGTCGTGGGGATCACTCGTTCGCATTTTTTGAGAATTTATATTGATGTTCCATTGTTGATTTATTTTTTTTCGTTAGACAATACAACTACATACAGTTTATCTTCATTTATATCCATTTTGATAAAAAAATCGAAGTTTTACTATCAATCCGATTAATGGCCTAAGTAATTGGCGGTGAATTAAAGAAACAGAAGAAACAAAATAAGGGAAGCCTATCAATGGCCAATTCTAGTCCAGCCAGTTTCTTGACGCAGGCCAATGCCATACTTAGAAAAAACTTAACCTATCAGGTTCGGCGTTTTTGTTTCCGCTAGTATAAAGTTAAGTCCATAATTACATATACGAGTTTATTGTTTTCTTTGGGGGTGTGTGTTTTGCAGAAGCGCAACATATGGAGCAACGTTCGGCTCATCATGATCCCTTTCTACCTCTGCGTGGTTTTAGTTTGTATTCAAGCTCTGTTTGATTCACAGGTCAACAAGTCACTCGATAACCAATGTGGTTGTAAATGCATTCACAAAACCGGAGCCGAGAAATGCCAAATGGTCTGTGGTGTAGAATATTCTACTCGTGAGCAAGGAGTCTTTTGTGCCATCCCAAAGCCACAACCATGGCCTCCTTTGATTCTTATCCCGCTTCCTCGGTATGGTGCTGTTGATTCCAATCTCACTGATGTATCGTGCAAGCAAAGAAACAATTGCCCTGTAACTATACTTCTCACTGGGAGGAATCAATCTCTTGGCGCAAGTATGTATGCTTCTCTTTCTTTTGGTCTTCTTCAACATTGATACAACTCATAATGTTCATGTTTTCTCCAGCTTTGTCTAGAAATCTTCTCAGAAGATCCTTTGCAATGAACTACTCTGACCTCTTGTTTAGTTTGGCTGATAATGTATTGGTAAGTTCTCTCTGGTCTGTTGATATTTTGTTTGTTTGTTGTGTGAACATATCTCTCTGTTTTTTTTTTCTTTTCTTTTTTACTTTGAGATGGTGTTTTCAGGCTACAACATATAAAGGAAGTCCCACCAATTATCTTGATGCAGGAATTGTCTCAGATCGTTTCATATACAACCTTCAACCTCGGTGTACTCAAAACTCCAATTTTTCATTCTCAATTGGACAACCACCTCTTAATTTTACCAAAGGTATAAATGAAGAAATCATATCTCATCACATATGCATATATTTCAAGCTTGCTAAGAAGAATATTTGTTCTTATTACTTAAAGTTATCTTCTAAAGAAACACTATTTAAGTAGATTGACTATGTTTTTGTTTGGTGGAAACCAGAGACGAGATGCGTTCAAGGGTTGAACCTTTGGAGAAATAGCTCCAGAGAGATTAATAATGAGATTTTCAGAGGTTATTATAAAGGAAATCCTGAAGGGATGATAAATGAGTTTGTTGCAGGTTCTTATACTACTTATCTGTAACGATTGATTAGTATGCATGTGAGATTTTCTGAATGTTTTTTTAAATGCTTTGATTTTCCTTAGCATATGATCTCTTGGACACAAATAGGACTAACTTTAATGTGAATATCTGGTATAACGCAACGTACCTGGATGATTCAGGAAATAGACCTCCTAAATTGCTCCGAGTTCCACGCTTAGTTAATTTGGTAAGAAACTAAGTGATACGATACACTCAACATCATCCTTGTGTTCACCAGTTTCTTGATTGAACAAGATTATAAGACTCTTGCAAATCTGCAGGTGTCAAATGCTTATCTTCAGTATTTGAAAGTCCCAAGGACAAAGATAGTTTTTGAGTTTGTCAAAGAAATGCCTAAACCAGAAACTAAACTTCGTTTAGACATCGCTTCTCTGATTGGTGCAGTTTTCTTCACATGGGTTATTCTTCTTCTGTTCCCTGTAAGCTCATTTTAAGTGGACTGCTTCAGTGTCTAATTATATGATCATCTGTAAACCTTGAAAGCAATTTGCCAATTTTCTTTCTCAAAAGGTTATCAATAAGGGTATTATGCAGGTGATCTTGACGTCACTGGTGTATGAGAAACAACAGCGTCTAAGAATTATAATGAAAATGCACGGGTTAGGAGATGGTCCATATTGGATGATCTCCTACGCCTATTTTCTAGCCATATCCACGTTATACGTTATATGCTTAATGATATTTGGGTCAGCAATAGGTACTGAATCATTTCCATATCTATTCTAGAACAAGTTTTTTTTTTCTTTCAATGTGATTATTATAGCAGCTATAGTTTACTTGCAGGGCTGAAGTTCTTTCTGCTCAATGACTACAGCCTCCATTTTGTTTTCTATTTTCTCTACATAAATCTGCAAATCTCCATTGCCTTTTTAGCTTCCTCAGCATTTTCAAAGGTTGAGACAGCCTCAGGTACTGTAGTCACACTTTTTTTTTAGAAAACTGCTCATAAACATGTTAATACTAAAAAAGGAACACATTCTGTTTTAGTTGTTGCATACATATACGTGTTTGGATCTGGATTATTAGGCTGGTTTCTCTTCCAGTTTCTCATTGAAGAGCTATCATTTCCCAGTAAGCTATCAAGATCACTTACTTTCTCTTCCAGTTCACTTGTTTGTGTTTATTATTCTCACTATTAACCACAATGCTAATAGGACACTGGATTTTTGTCATGGAGCTGTATCCCGGCTTCTCTTTATTCCGGGGGTTGTATGAGTTCTCTCAGTATGCTTTTCAAGGGAACTTGACTGGGAGGGATGGAATGAAGTGGAAAGATTTAAGCAATAGTTCAATGGATGAAGTTTTCTACATCATTATAGTTGAATGGTTTTTCTTACTCATTTCAGCATACTATATGGATAAGATGTCTTCATCAGGAAAAGGTCTTTTGTTCTACTTGAAAAACCCTTTCGAGAAGTTTCTTTCTCCACAAAGTCCTAGCTTGCAAAATCAGGTCTCTGCAGTTTCCGTAGAAATGGATAAACTAGATGTCATTCAGGAGGTAGAAGTCACAATACATTCCATTGTTCTTTTGGTTCTTTAGTTGTTTTTCTGATTAAAACTTTGATTCAACCAGAGTGAAAAAGTTGAGAAACTGATGAGTGAGCGGAAAACAAGCCATGCTATTGTATGTCACAAAATGAAGAAGGTGTATTCGGGTAGGGATGGAAACCCGCCAAAAATAGCGGTTCAAGGGTTATCTCTGGCTGTTCCTTCCGGAGAGTGCTTTGGTATGTTAGGACCCAATGGTGCTGGAAAGACCTCATTCATCAACATGGTTAGTTAGTATTACCCATATGGACAAAAAAAATTTTGAGCTTAGTTTCTTCCTAGAATAATAGAGTTTAGTATTATTGTATTTTTGTGACCAGATGACTGGGCTAGTGAAACCAACATCAGGGTCAGCGTTTGTTCAAGGTTTCGACATATGCATGGATATGGACAGAGTATACACCAGCATGGGTGTATGTCCACAACACGAGTAAATAAATTCTTACAAAACATTATTTCTGTAGACTATATAAAATGATAATTTTATCATTCCCTTATTGTTTATTGTAAACTAGCTTACTCTGGGAAACACTGTCAGGAAGGGAGCATCTTCTCTTCTATGGGAGACTTAAGAATCTCAAAGACTCTGATCTTGATCAAGTATGTTTTCAGTTGTGCATTCTTTTAATTATAATATCAAAGCGTAAATGATTGTTGGTTCATGCATATTAGGCTGTAGAAGAGTCTCTTAGGAGTGTAAACTTATTGCGTGGTGGAGTTGCTGACAAACCTGCTGGAAAATACAGCGGAGGTATGAAAAGACGGTTAAGTGTAGCTATTTCACTTATAGGGAGTCCTAAGGTATGCATTTGGTTTTTACTCATTTTGGTGTCTTAAGTTTAAAATCTGTAACTATTTCATTTTTTTTTAATTTAAAAGGTGGTTTATATGGATGAGCCGAGCACAGGACTTGATCCAGCTTCTAGAATGAACCTATGGACAGTCATAAAACGCGCAAAAACAAACACTGCGATAATCCTTACGACTCATTCAATGGAAGAGGCAGAGTTTCTATGTGACCGTTTGGGAATATTTGTAGATGGAAGGTTACAATGCATAGGAAACCCAAAAGAGCTAAAGGGAAGGTATGGTGGATCTTATGTGTTAACTATGACAACAGCACCAGAACATGAGAAAGATGTAGAGATGTTGGTTCAAGAAGTTTCTCCAAACGCCAAGAAGCTATATCACATTGCTGGGACACAGAAATTTGAGATCCCAAAAGAAGAAGTTCGGATCTCACAAGTGTTTCAGGCCGTGGAGAAGGCCAAGCGCAGTTTCAAAGTGTTTGCTTGGGGACTTGCGGACACAACTCTTGAAGATGTCTTCATTAAGGTTGCTAGAAGTGGTCAGGACTTTAATGTCTTCTCTTGAAATCTTGTTAGCATTATTATTGTTATTATCTGTTTAACGTCAATAACTGTTCTCGTTTGCTGAGTTGGTCATGTAGAGAGGTTTGGAAATATTCAATTATACTAATAAATTTGGCTGCATGGAATAGCTGGCAACTATATTTCAGATAATGTCATGAATAATGACATTCATTTTCTACTCTTTTTATCAGATCGTTCATTGCTTCTTTTCCAAGTAACTTCCACACAGGAAGATTTGTTTGAATTTGAGCAAAAGAAAATATATTTTAAATAGTAAGAATAACCAAATTACCCTGACATTTACGTGAGACAATAAAAAAATAGACTAGTTGCACATGATTATGTCTGAGATGATGCCATTATAGTCCTTGTATTCAGTAATAAAATAAAAATAATAATTGAAACTCTTCCTCTTGCATTAGTTAAATAATCTTAACCGTCGTGGGATCACTACTTGGCAGCTTCCTACATTGAAGTTTTCACGAAGGTCGCTTTCTTGATCTCGTTGACCCAAAGAATTAACAAAATTAATGAGAATCCTATTTTATTAACCTAACAATTGAACGAGGAAGAAGAGTAGGACATAAGAAATCAGACACACAGAGAAGAAGATTTACAGAATCTTTCTTCTTCCTCCATCAATGGCAGATCCTGGTGCTGCCAGTTTCTTGACAAGAGCCAATGCCTTGCTTAGGAAAAACTTAACCTATCAGGTATACGTTTTACTTTCCTCTTACGGAATCCAAATCTTTATAGCAGTTTCCTAATAGTTTTAAGTCAACTCTGTGTATGTATGTATGTGTATTGGTGTAGAAACGGAACATAGGGACCAACGTTCGACTTATCATGATCCCGTTTTTCCTCTGCCTATTTCTACTGGCTATACAAATCGTGTTCGATGCACTAATTAATAACGCGGATGATAATCGTTGTGGTTGTCAATGTATTGTCACCAATCAAAATGGCAATTGCATAAACAAGACTTGCGGTATAGAATATTCGAGTTCGGATCAAGCATTCTTTTGTCCCATCTCTAGTCCTCCCAGATGGCCTCCCTTGTTACAAGTCCCGCCTCCTGAAAGCCGTGCTGTTAATTCTACTTTCCTTCCGGACATAGGCCTACCTAATGAATCATGCAGAAGAACAGGAACTTGTCCTGTTACCATACTTTTTACCGGGAATAACCGTTCCCTTGGAGCAAGTATGTATGCCTCTCTTCTTCTTTTGTCCATAGTCTATGTTAAATAAATTTCAAACTTAAAATCAATTGGTTATAATCAGGCTCTAATACTATGTTAGATTCAAGTTTATTACGAGTTTCCAATTTAAATTTAAATGGTGATAACTAGATCCCTAATCTTTTATATACTACTTAAATGCCATGGAATTCTCAATGTGAGATATTTTATCCTTAATAATTATTTTGTTTTGCTTTGGAAATAATAAACTTAATTTGTTTTCTCTAGGTCTGTATGGGAATCTGCTACCTAGTTCTGTAACAGTGAACATCTCTGATAACAGTGAACACCTCTTGCAGAGTTTAGCCTATAATGTTTTGGTCAGTTTTCTGTTCGAATCCTGTTTGCTTCCACTATAAAGTGTATACATATTTGTCTTAGCTCTTCTTTTTGGAGATCATTTTATCAGGGTACAGAGACAGAGCCAGAGCTCACCAATTATCTTGATCCAGGGATTGCGTCAAATCTGTCAATCTACAATATCCAATCTGGGTGCAGTCCAAACGATACGTTTCCGTTCTCATTCGGACAAGACAGACTCAAGTTTCAGAAAGGTATTAAGTTTCTGATAATATAGATGTTACTGAAATGTTAAATATGTTTATTTAACTTAGGTTTTAGTAACATCTAAAAATCGGTCTATGAGGTGCCTATGAACCGGCCTAGAAACTAATGCACTATGAAGTGACTAATTGTTGCCCAATTTCTTGAACATTAGATGTTACTGAATAGCCCTTAATTTTCCATTTAGTCCCAAATTTGTTAAAAGTACTATTTTCTATGCGAGGAATTAACTTAATGGTTTGCGTTAAACAGAGCTGAGATGTACTCAAGGATTGAATCTCTGGCGAAATAACTCAAAAGAGGTCAATGATGTGATATTCAAAGGTTATCGGAAAGGAAATCCCGAGGGGAAAACAAATGAGATTGGTGCAGGTTGTTATTCAAAAAAAAAAATATATATATATATATATATATATATAACCATGTTTACTATATTATACGTACATGAGACTTCTGACTCTTCCTCTCTGTTTTCTTGTTTGCTTAGCCTACGATCTTTTGAATACGGATAGGAACAACTTCAATGTGCACATCTGGTATAATTCAACATACCGGGAAGGCTCAGATGATAGGCCTTCAACGTTGCTTCGAGTTCCCGGCTTAGTTAATTTGGTAAGAAGAAGATAAACATGTACTCAAAAAATAAATAAAATATATTCCATATGTGCCTTACGCTTTGCCAAACTGTAGGTGTCAAATGCTTACCTTCATTTTCTGCAAGGCCCTGGAACAAAGATATTGTTCGAATATGTCAAAGAAGTGCCTAAACTAGAAAGTAGACTTCGTCTAGACATAGCATCTCTAATTGGCCCTCTTTTCTTCACATGGGTTATTCTTCTTCTGTTCCCTGTAAGTTTGCTTTTAGTAGACAACTAGGTGATTTTCTCGTGCTCATGCACGGGTATAAATATTTTTAAAGTAAATATATAATAATAATTGATTACTATTTAGTTTTAATTTTAAAATAATTTATAACTTGTATGCATCATTTATATTAATAGTATTATATTACTTTACTTATACTATAATTTTATATATGTTATATCTAGTCGGTTTTGTTGTTTTTACGGTTGGTTTAGTTATCATTTGGATAAATTGGATTGCGTCTCAGAATTCAAATTTAATATTTTTAAAATATATTAATTGTTAATTAGTTACTTATTTGTATATGGTGGGTGTTGTCTTAGATATGTAAATATATTTTAGGAAAATTATGTATAACTTAAGATATATTGTGCTTAGAATGAATTAAAAATTAACTAAAGTGTCTTATTCCAAAATACGTAAATTAATATAATGATAATATTCTAAAGTCTCATGGATATATATAAATTTTACAAAAGAACTAAAATTGTAAGAGTTGGTTAATATTTATTTTCATTTGTTAATATGTTTTGAGTTATCCTATGATCAATAGAAGGTTATATGCATAATAGTTGATACATTTTTGGAAGCTCATGAACACATATCAATATTTACAATAATTAAATTATTTATAAATTCTAAATAACTTTATGCTTTAGATTTATTGAATGTAAGCTGAAATTTATCTGAAATAATCTTAAATTGAGAATTTAGATTTGCTTTGATATTTTTATTATGGTTATATTTATTTTCACAAACATAAAAACATAAAATTTAAAAGAAAATTTAATATTAAAAAAATAAATAATTTTAATAATGATAAAATATCATATATCTAGCTCATTAGAACAATTATTTTGATCAAGCGATGTTTATTGTTAAATTTATTTTTAGTTTTTAATATCTCTTAAAAATAAGCACTATACAAAATTGTGATTGTATTTGAAANAAATTTAAAAGAAAATTTAATATTAAAAAAATAAATAATTTTAATAATGATAAAATATCATATATCTAGCTCATTAGAACAATTATTTTGATCAAGCGATGTTTATTGTTAAATTTATTTTTAGTTTTTAATATCTCTTAAAAATAAGCACTATACAAAATTGTGATTGTATTTGAAAATAATATTATATAAATAAAATATAATTTATAGATAATTTTCTGTAATTGAAAGATATTATAGTCAACTAAATATATGAAATTTTTTATAACAATTGATTGATATAAATTATTTTATTACTCTAAAAGTATATTTTATGTTTCTTAAAAATATTTTTAAATGTATTATTACTATTTTTGAACTTTCCTTTTTATGAAATTATATTATAAATACCTATATGTTTATGTTATTTAAAAATATTTTTAAATGTATTATTACTATTTTGTCAACTTTCCTTTTTTTATGAAATCATATTATATATACATATATTTTTTGTTTTAAATTTGCTTTTTATGACTATAAAAATTTCCTTTTTATTACATATATTTTTGGAAATTTTTGAAAAGGAAACTAAATAAAAGAATTAATAATATTATTTTTAACTATTTTTTAATTCATTAAGGGTATCAATGTAATCAACTATCGTGATAATGAACGTGAGAGCGACACATAAGAAACTGACTTCTCAAATAATATTATAGAGATGTACTACAATATGCTTTCTTCTAGGGAAATTAATAATGGGTAATTACCCGTAGGGTACCCTAAACCTTCAAAGAATATTCAACCTAGTGTAAAACTAATTATCCTATATATTTATCACTTTTTAGCAGTAAAAAAAAATTATCATAAGTAGTAAAATTAATATTCTCATATAATTTAAATTAAAATTATCAAATGGTATTAAAATATTAGGGTATCCGCGGATGACCTTAAAATTATAGTGTGGCTTTCGGATTATCCTAACAGTTTAAAGTTTTTTTTTTTCAGATTTTTCATATTCAGATTTTTTTGGCGGTTTTTTGTCTGGGGTTCGGATAGGGTTAAGTTTTTTTTAACCAATACCCATGACAGCATCCTTACTTTCTTCCAAGAATTTTGTTTTCTCTGAAATCTACCCAGGAAGGGTCCAAAAATTTATTAAGCTTGAAACAATTACAGTTTCAAAACCAGATAATCCATACATATATATATTTTTGGATGGTTTAGAGGCCGAATAAACCATACACATTAAAGAATAAAATTTTGGGGTGGGGGGCAAAACGAATTTTTTATTATGGTATCCCCAGGACTTGCCCCTAAGTCTATCCATCATAAGATATGCACTTAAAAACGTAGAGTCATTGTGTACGCAGGTGATCTTGTCCTCACTGGTGTACGAGAAACAGG